TGATGATGATGATGGAGATGATGATGTTGTTAATGTTACCGATGATGATTTTGATAATGATTATTTGAACGATGATGATGATGATGATGATTATGATGGTGCTGATGATGATGATGATGGTTTGAATGATGATGAAGTTGATGGCGTTGAAGATTTGGATTATGTTGATTTGGATGATGATGATGATGAAGTTGATAATGATGTTTCGGTGTTGTTGATGTTGATGTTGATGAGGTTGATGATGGTGATGGTGATGATGATTATAATAATGGTGTTGATGAAGATTATGATGAATATGATGATGATTCGAATGATGATGATTATGTGGATGGTGATGAGGATGATTATTTGGATGAAATTCATTTGGATGAAGATGATGATGATTTGGATGATGATGAATATGAAGATGATGATGTAGATGATGAAGAAGACGATGATTTGGATGATGATGATGTTGATGACAATGATGATTTTTATGATGATGTTGCAGATGATGATACTAATGATGATGTGGATGATGATGATTTAAATTTTGATGATTTCAATGAATATTTGATTGATGATATGGATGAGGATGATGATGATGATAAAGATTTATATCATGATGACGATTTGGATTAGGATTTGTATGATGATTTGGATGATGATGATGATGATGATTTGGATGATGATGATGATGATTTGGATGATGATGATGATGATGATGATGATGATGATGATGATGATGATGATGATGATGATGGTAATGATGATGATGATAATTATGATGATGATGATTTGGATGATGATGATGGTGATGATGATGATGATGATGATTTGAATGTTGAAGTTTTGTATGAAAATTTGGATGTTGATTTGGATGATGTTGATGATGTTGATGATGATGATGATTTGGATGATGATGTAGATTTAGATGATGATGATGATAATTTGGATGACGTTTATGATGATTATGATGATGATATGAATGATGATGTTGATGATGATGATAACGAATTGGATGCTGATGATGACGGTGATTTGGATGATGATCATCATGTTGATGTTGTTGAGGATTATGATTTGAATGATGTTCATTTGGA